TCCAACTTTTCTTGATGTTGTCACGTGTCTGTTCTTCGATCAAGCACGCAATCCGTTGGTGGTGCACCACAACAACTAACACTGGCGTCCTAGCGCAACAAGACCAAAGCAAATAAAACAGGAGGAGGCAAATACGGGCCAATAGAGCCGCACTTCCCAGACAGTACAACAACAAAGACAAATAAGTGAGATACACGCACGCACGTGAATTATAAAGCCGTACCCACCCAAGCCTTCATGAAACGGAGCGGACCGTCTCCTTTCCCGTCTTTCACCACACTGTTATTCTCGTTTTCACGCATATTCATTTCCGGATACATTAATAAAAATATTTATTTATTAACTTTTGCTCACTCTCCATGGTACATGTCCGGAGTAAATACTCCGAGGGAACATATTATAAATGTGCGGGAGGTTCATCATTTCATTTAGTTTCTTTCTCATTCCGCGTCACCCCAATCCGCAGCAACAAAATGTAACGGCAGACGAAAAAGGAGTAAGCGTCAAGGACAAAAAAAGCAGTAAACTAAAAACAATAATAATAAATCGCAAAAAAAAAACAAAAAAAATGCTAAAATTATCCCAAATAATAATGAGCACTAGCGGGTTTGGGTATTCGGCAAAAAAAAAACGTTTTCTTCTCGTTTACTACTTGCTTCACTTTCTTTCCGGACACTCAGTAAAAAACAAAAAAAAACACCTGCAATCCTCACGTGCAGAAATGCAAGGCCAAGCTTCTTTGGCGGCTTTTGAACTCCGAATTACATTTGTGTTTCCCTATCTTTTCATCCTTCTTTCCTTATATAAGGGGGGTGTATGTGTGGGTGTGTACCCGTCTCGGCTGAGCCGCTTTCCTTGCGGCGCACTTTCGCCCTCTCTGTGTGCTCAAGTGTAACTGCACCTGCGCACTCCACCGCTGGCCTCGTTCTTGCGGTACTCCGCCCCTCGCACTCGGCGCTGTAAAGGGAAGCCTCACAGACAGAGACCCACCGCCCTTTGCAGCACGCCGCACGGGAAGGCGGAACAAAAACAGCGGGCAACGGCGCTCCCCCACTCGCAGTCGCAGAGAAAAAAACAAATACACCCCACCGCCAACTTACACGCCCATGGCCGCTGCGCCCGCCACCGCACACTCCGTCCATGCGCAGGACGACAGAGGCGAGGCGAGGCGTGTCTTCTCCGCATCATGATACACACACCCACGCCCAAACCCCGCAGTTCATCACAACCACAAACAAGATAAACACACAATAAACACACATATGTATTAAAAACAATACAAAGGAAAAAATACCACTACTAATCCTGCTTCAACGCTGGCTCCGAAGGCTCCTCCCTCGCCGCCCCAACATCCGCTTTTTCATTTGCTGAAGATGCCTCTTCGGCCAGCTTCGCCTGGGTGAAGCGCGAAAATCGCCAGTGCACCAACGCGGCGGCAAATATGGCAAGTACGTTGACAAACATCAGAATAAACATCTGCTTTCGCACACACGAGGGTGCGTTGCATGAGGGCAACTCACCACGCCTGCGCCCCTCCGCATCGTACATCCCTCCGAACATGAAGCGGTTCAGCGCAATGGTCGAAACAATCCCTGACGAAAAACAAAAGTTATAATGTTTCCCAATATCCTTAGCATACAGTATCCGCATCGCAAGAACTCCGATACCCCAGCCAACGCCGTTGCCGACAGCTCCAAGCAAAAAAGGCAGCAGCAAGGCGTTCCCAGGTACCAAACCAAAGAGGAGGTACGCCACCACCAACAGCAAGGGACCAATGGGAAGCGCAATGGTCGTCAGAATTTTTGTCTTGCCTGCACGATTCCACGCAGTCAGCTTCATGTCGAGATACCCCATAGACATGCGCCCAATAGCACTGCCCACAGACATGATGGCAACGTAAAGCGTCAGAGTTCGAGTGTCAAACACGCCGTGGTTCGTACTGCGATAGATTTGAGCAGCGTTCATCTGCATCACCGTGCCGGTACCCCACATGCCAAAGCAGGCCAACCACATTGCCCACAGGTCAATGGTAAGCAGGTTGGACCAGAATGAACCATTGTACTGCGGTGCCGGGCTGGCCACCTCATTCTTGCAGTTTGTATCACCTTCCTCCCCAGAATCCCCAGTTACGGCTTCGCCTGCCTGCTCCACGTCCGATTCACCAATGCCCTCCATATGTGTGGGACGCACAGGGTTGTAGCGGCCCAGAAACTGGAACGGCATCGCCATCAAGGAGAATGCCGCCATCAGCACGAGCGCCACAATCGAGATCGCCACGTACCCCGCGTGGGACGTTTTCACGTACGCCGTCGTAATCGACTGCGTGGCAGAAAATATCAGCATGGCGAAGACAAGCCCAAATCCGATGTACAGACGCCGCAAGGGGGAATGCTGGCTCATGTACAGGCCAAGCGTCTTCTTCCGCTCTGCGAGCTCCTCGGCACTCAGGCGCTTCTTCCTCCACGTGCACGGAAAGTACATCGGTAGCCGCGTGAACCAGGCGCCAACAAGAGCGCACAACAAAATCTGTGCTGCAACAAAGTACGCGTAGCCAGAGTAGTTGTTGTCCTCGGAATTATCAAGGTCGGCCGCTCTGAACCAGCCGTTGAAGTACGCCATCAGCACTGCGGTCCCAAGCCCGTTGAATGCCTTCATGATCAGCACCACGTAACCGCGATCCAAGGGAAACTGTAGCATCAATGGCATTACAGAAGCAACATCCATCGCCGGGCAGCCAATATACAGAATAGCATTGAAGATTGAAAAGTGAATTACACTTGGTTTTGACACAACGTATCCGTCAAAGGTTAACCCAAACAACAGGAAGCCCAGGCATCCAAGAGAGCCAGCAAGCGGAAGCACGACTGTTGGACCCGCGTAGTCAAAGAGCATTCCGGCAAGGAAGCTGCAGTAGCCGACACAATTTCCAACGGTGCTGATTGTCGTGATGTCGCTCTGCGAATACCCGTACTTATTCTTCAGGTGATCCGTGAAGAGGCTGAATCCGTACGTAGATGAAATGCCGAGCGCAGTGTACACGCCGGCCACCAGCATCCGCATGCGGAACAAATCATCCACCTGAAGCACCATTTTTTTTTGTATTATTATCAATTTTTGTTTTTTTTTTCTTATGTTAAATTCTTCCTTGTCGTTTTCAATACGCTGTGCTTCTTATGGGAGCGAAGAGTGAAGTGTGGGTGGTTAAAAGATGGAGTTTAAACTGTCAATTTGATAGGACCAGCACAGTTTTTTTAGTTTCATTATTTCTGGTTATTCATGATGGTGTGTGTGTGTGTGTTTTGTTTTTTAGGGTCTTGTGTTTTTTTTGTCAAACATTTATTTTTGCGCACAACATCGATTAGAAAAAAAAAAGGGTGGGCGTCGATGAGCTCATCTCACGTGTATCTTGCAGGCATCCTATGGGGCGAGGAGCACCATGGCAATCTCGGTTTTACTTGATTGCGGCGCCGCCCCTCAAACTGCTCTGCTGCAGGCAACGAGAAAGATTGTAAGGAGGTTCAAAAGTTAATGCAATGGAGGAGTTGTTTCTCTGAGGGCAATGACACTGTGGACAGCATGGAGAAACACTGAATACCGCAGTTCTTAGTCCCTCATTTGCAGCGGAAAAGGTCACGGTAACAAGGAGGTTGAACACACACGTGGAGAGAGAAGCAACACCCACCAACTCACTTCCAGACCACCGAATGTGTGGCTGTGTGTAGAAAAAAAAAGGCAAAATAGCTCGCATACATCCTTCCTTCCTTACTTCTCGCTTTGGAATCATGCCCTCTCGGCGACACGTATTTGACATGGCGAAGCACGGAAGAACGATCATTGTGGCGGAACTATCACTGAAAAATAAAACAACATGGTGTATAAAGTGAACAAAGGGGAAAGTGAATGCCGGCTCTTACAAGCTAAAAGAAATATAACCCTCCGCCAGCGGAGGCCACATGTGTGCTGAAGCAAGCCAGAGACCAACGTGACGTTGTGTTGCTGGAAGAAAACGCCCGTGAACAAGTCCGCCCAATATCCACTGCGTGGGGGAATGCATAGTGTCTTTGCCATTCACCCCGTGGGGTCTCAAACAGCAGTTGATGCCTTTCCCTGCCAATTCCCCGTGTGCGGAGCTCCAAAATAACATCACCCAAAGGCAGCAGCTTCCCGCAGTTAGTACAAAGTTCGTGGAGACCAACAGTGCAGAAGGCGTTGCCGTGCCAATCGCAACAATGACGTTCCTTTTAAACCAAACAAAAAGTCTTCGGCTGCACACGAAAACAGCTGCGGGCAGCGGCGCGTGTTCGGCACCAGGCAGCCGTACACCCCCAACCGCATGGCCCCGCCACGTGCACGCAGAGAAGCACCACACCGGGCGCGGCAATGGTGCCAAAAAAAGACGCAAGCAAAGACGTTGAGACAGGGAAACGGCAAGATGGCGCCCACGACGAACAGCGGCAAGCACCACACAGGAAGGTCCACACCGCGACAATCACCTTAAGGGTGCTGGGGTCACAGCTGCGGTTGCCCTGCGAAAGAGTGGACACAAGACGGGGGAAGAATAGCAGTGCCACTCATACACCGCGTACAGACAACGGCAGCCAGCATGCCCCACCATGACCGGCACACCTCCGCCACCAGAAAGCAAACAAAGCACCGTGGTGTGCCGCAGAGGAGCAAGAAAGGGGCATAGCAGAACGGAAAGGAGACCCCAGCAACACGTCACCAAGGAAAACAAAACAACAAACATGAGTGTAGGACCACGGGGAATCCAACAAATGCCCGTGCATCAGTAAAGAAAAGAGCAGGTCTGCTGGCAAATATAAGTTAGGCTTGTCAGAATGATATAAACAAATATATATTTATTATTATTATATTTAAAATAAAAAAAAGATAAATGCGTCCAATTTTATTTTATTTTTTCAAAAACTGCATGCCTGGAAAAAAAAAGAAACAAAACAAAAAACAGAACGGTCTAAGCCTTACTTGTCACCAGTAGAAAA